GACATGTATCATATGACCTCACTGATATGAGGAATTCTTAATCTCAGGAAACAAACTGAGGGTTGCTGGAGTGGGTGGTGGGGTGGGAGCGATGGGGTGGCTGGGTGATAGACATTGGGGAGGGTATGTGCTATGGTGAGCACAGTGAATTGTGTAAGACTCTTGAATCACAGACCTGTACCTCTGAAACAAATAATACGTTATATGTTAAAAAAAAAATGTCCATAATTTGCTGGACCCAGACTAAGTGGGGAGTGGTATGGTATATACCAAAAAGTATAGGTTGGACTGGAATGCAAGCAGTAATTGATGATTGAGTGATGTAACCCTCCTTCCCATGAGGCATCTCAGAGCATTTCATTTTGCCTCTTCACCCACACAAAGTTTGTCTTTTTCCCTGTAGCGAAGTTGGGTGGATAAAACGTGAGGCCTGTCTCAGCCATCATGTTGATGATAAAAGCACATGTCCTTGGCAGCAGCCAGTCAAAGGGAAAATCCAAGTTTGTTTTATCAGGCTTTTCCCGGAATCAGCGCACAAGTTCAGCATACAGTGCTTATTGTGGGTGTTTCCTGGAGTCCAACTTGGGCCATGCTACTGAATGAGCATCTTACCTTTCCCATCAACCTGGACTTAACACTCAAAATCATTTAGGACAATCTGACATGTCCATTTACTGACCATGGTGTGGAAGGTACCAGGCATGGAAGTCTAAATATTGACAGATGTACAACACATCTCCGAAAAATAATGATGACTTAGATTTGAGAATAGTAGGTAAACTTGCACTTTGGGGCAAAGTCTATGTGGTTCTTTTATTTGGTTGAAAGGACCAAATGTGATGGGCAGATGTATAAGTGAACAACATGGAGGATTACGAACTGTAAGAAATATTGCAGTTGCAAATGACAGAAATGGGACTCAACTTGGCTTAAGCAATTTTTAAAAGGAATGTAAATGGCTGAATAACCAAAATGGGTCAGTTGGCTTCAAGTTTAGCTGGATCCAGGTTCTCAAATGATGTCATCAGGACTCAGTTGCTTCCTCAACTCCTTTTTTTTTTTTTTTTAAAGATGTATTTGTCCATTTTAAAGAGCACGCATGAGCGAGCAGGGGGTGGAACAAAGGGAGAGGGAGACAACAGACTCCCCGCTCAGTGCAGAGCCCGATGCAGGGCTCAATCCTAGGACCCCAAAATCATGACCTGAGTCGAAATCAAGAGTCGGCTGCCTGACCGACTGAGCCACCCAGGCACCCCTCAACTCTCCTTCTATTCTCAGGCAGTCTGTCTTCCCCTGGAGACACTGGCTCAGTGAAAAGAAAACACTCCTTTCTGAAACTTTCCAGTAAGTCAGGTAATAGACCTGAGTCGGGTCACGTGCAAATTCTATGAAGTGTTTAGCCCCACCTAAACTGTAAGGACCAAAGGTGGGATGGAGGCGATTCCTTAGAGGAAAACTGGGGTTTTGTTGCCAGAAGAAAGTGGCAGGGGTACCAGGCAAGAAAAAACAATTATTTTTACCCTTTAATCACCCAAACTGTCCGGAATGTTACCAACAGGAGGTATTGCCCCTGTCCTAGTAGGCAATAAAGTCTGCAAACATTTACTGGATTTCTACAATATGCTCGGTGTCGTGTTAGAGATTTTCAGATCTTTCTATTCACTCATTTACTGACCATGTGCCAGATACTGCACTCCCAGGCCTTAAGAGTTCAGACTGCTGTGTCACGTGCCATGACAGGGTGACCTGGGGGAGGCTGTGGGAATGTCCTGCAGGTCATATGACCAGCCTGGGTGGTCAGGGAGGGCTTCCCAGTGGAAGTATCATCTCAGGATATGAAGGATCACAAGGAAGTATATACAGAACCAAGGAAATATCTAAGGAAAGACTATCCCAGGCAGAGGAGCCTGTGTGCAAGGGCCCAAAAGCAAGGGTGATGGCATTTTCACAAAACCAGAACAAGGCCCGCATGGCCCTGAAGGGTGGAGAACAAAAAGATGTGACGAGTGTTGGGTTAGACATTTTATTTTATTTTAAAGATTTTATTTATTTATTTATTTGAGAGAGAGAGAGTGAGAGAGCACAAGAGGGGGGAGCAGGAGAGGGAGAAGCAGACCCCCCGCCGAGCAGGGAGCCCGATGCGGGACTCGATCCCGGGACTCCAGGATCATGACCTGAGCCGAAGGCAGTCGCTTAACCGACTGAGCCACCCAGGCGCCCCGGGTTAGACATTTTAAATGGGTGAACAGTCTGGTATGTGAACTAGATTTCAATACAGTTGCTTAAACAAAAACATGAGATGAGGCAGCATCAGGGCCAGATGGCAGCTTGTAAGTCATCCCTCAGAGATGAACTTGATCCTGACGTGGCAGCAGGGAGCCTTTGGGGGGGACTGGTGTGAAGGGATTGGCTGCTGGTGGGCAGGAAATGGAGAGGGTAAAAGTGGGGGGAGGCGTGGCAGGGTGAGAGTGGGGTGGGACTGCGGCCATTTACATGCTTGGCTCCTGCTTTTTTGCACTAACTCAGGGTTGTGGTAGCTCTGCATAGGACACTTGCTTTCTCTGGGCCTCAGTCTCCTCATCTGTCAAAAGGAATCATAGCGGTGTAGCACCTTGGGATAACAGTCTGGCAGCTCCTCAAAAGTTTAAACATAAGGTTCCCATACGACTCAGGAATTCCACTCCTAAACAGATCTATACCCAAGAGAAATGAGAACGCACGTCCACATGAAAACTCACACATGAATGTTAATAGCAGCGTTATTCGTAATAGCCACAAGTGGATATGACCCAAACGTCCAAAATAAATAGATCACTTGATCAAGAAATATAACATGGTACGAACACACAGCGGAATGTTATACAGCAATAAGAAAGAATGAGGTCCAGCCTACAACAGGGATGACCCTGGAAACACACGAAATGAAGGAAGCCAATCACAAAAAAAACACATTTATGATCCTGTGTTTTATGAAATGTCCAGAATACACAAACCCACAGAGACAGAACATAGATAAGTGGTTGCCAGGGCCTGGGGGGAGGGAATGGGGAGTGACTGCTAATTGATACAGGTTTCTTTTTGCCAGATGAAAACGTTCTAAAATTGGAAATGGTAATAGTTGTACAACTTTGTAAATATACTAAAAACCACCAACATAGTACCCTTTAAATAGATCAATTTTGTGTATGTGAATTATATCCCACTAAAGCTGTTACGGTGGGCAGGGATCATAAGCTCTTGGCAGCAGACATCAAGATCTCTCATGAGCATGGCTATGAGAGGCTCCTATAGGCTCTCATGACTGCAGACGGAGTCTGACTGCAGAGGCAGAGGTCAACCAGCATGTTCCTGAGCCTCTCATGGGCTTTCACCCCCAGCCTGGCTACCCCTCCTGCTGCCCCTGCTCTCACCCTGGTCCCACCCGCCCACTTTTCCTTCCAGGTCTCTTAGCTCTGCCTCCCTGGAAATGGCCTGGGAAGATCAGCAGGGTTCAGAAGCCTGGGTTCTGTATCCATGCTCCTCTGAGATGGGCTAGTACCCAATAAGTAAAATATTTCCTTTTTGCAATCAGCTCACAAAATGCACAGCCAGCCCTGTGCTACCTTTTCCTTTCTCCCATTTCTTTGTGAATTTCTTTTTCATTTCTTATTTTTTATTATGGAAAATTCCAAACATATCCAAGAGTGGAAAGAATAATATAATGATGTATCCACCACTCTGCTTTAATAATTCTCAATATTTTGCCAATTCTTCCATGTATCTCCCAAACCCACTTTTTTTTTAATGTTTTAAAAGTAAATCCTAGATACACTATTATTCCACACATAAATATCTTAGTAAGTTGGGGCACCTGGGTGGCTCAGGTGGTTAAGCGTCCGACTCTTGATTTTGACTCAGGTCATGATCCCAGGGTTGTGAGATCGAGCCCCGCATCCAGCTTTGTGCTTAGCAGGGAGTCTGCGTCTCTCCCTCTGACCCTCCCCCACTCGAACCTACACCTCTCTATAAAATAAAACAGTATTAAAAAAATATTCTAGTATGTCTGACAAATAAGGAATTTTTAAAACATAACCCACAATGCCATCATCTTACCTAATTAGACATTCTTCAGTATGTTCTAAGACCCA